GTGGTCGTCGGGGCGGTTGCGGGCGAGGCGGGCGTGGAGGTCCTGGCGGGAGGCGTAGTGTCGCGAGTCGTGGAAGGGCAGTGGACGAGCTAGTACACAAGCCTCGACAGCGATGGGATGAGGGAGACTTTTTGTACGAGAGCTCGTCCAGCGATGACGAGGATTTCTTCGGGACTGGCAGACCTGCACAGGATGGCGACAGCGATTTCGACGACCGTCACCCGAACGTGGGCGACGACGATGGCGCCAGTGGCGATGATCACGGTRACGGAGGAGATAGGCCAYSACCTGCACATGGTGACACGATGYGCGCCRAYGGGGCAGGGGGCGAGCACCGCACAGCAGTAGATGACGCTCGAGATGGAGTGCATGATGATGGTTCACGACCTGTCTCGGGCGGTGACCTGAGGCGCTTGAAACGCGGACCAAGGGAAAAAGACACTATCGCTTCACGTGTGCGCAAACGTCATGGTGTGGTTGCTAGCATTCCACTATCACGAGTCCCCGCAACTGGGCAGATTCCAGTTTCTGAGGACTCTTTCAGCGATCACGGCGGCGAGGAGCGGATCGAGCTGCATGGCGGGAGCGGTCATCCACGAGGTGACACTTCGAGTATGCACGCGACAGCTCCGATGGGGCCTTCCGCAGCAGTCCCAGAATCGCAACAGGGTCCAGCACCATTGATGCGCCATCCCGAGGTTCAGGGAGAGATCAGTCCTCTCCCGGCAGTGCGGGACGAGGGTTCTGTCCGTGCACTGCATCCACTCACGTCTGTCGGAGCGGCAGTCTCAGTTGCAGCGACCTCGGATGTGGGACAACCACTGGCAGCGGCAGAGCAAGAAAGTATGCTCCCACCTCGCAGTGTTCAACCGCGGCCACCACCTGCATTGATGGAGGGGAGTMAGGGGACCGTTGTTGTGTGTCAAGGCGACGATCTCCCGGAACGTGATATCTCACATACTCCCGCAGCCGAGCAGAGCGCCGCAGACCCTGTCGGCCTCGCATGCCCCACCGGCAGTCTTCCGGGTACCGGCGAGTTACTGACCATGGACTCTGCGCTCGTTTCTCTACCGGACTTGTCAACGTTGATATCCCCAGGTCTACCCCATGTGTCACCGCCCAAGCCACAACAGCCTGTTGTCATGGAGCGTGGATCGGACGGGTTTGATATGGCAGGAGGCGATATCGCCGATATGATTACGAGCCCAATGGTGTCTGCCACGCCCACAATTTTTCGTGTTGGCAAACTACGCGAGGTGGCCCTTGGTTTGGAGGAGACGGCAACGCGACACCGCCGCGACGGTCAGCGCAGCATCGCACAACGCAGTCTTTCTCATTCGTTTGACGGCGCAGAGGAAGGGTCTCCTGGTGGGCCAGTTGACACACTCGAAAGAGAAGCAAGACCCCCAAGTCCGCCGTCAAACTCAGAGCATCATCCGATTGCCGCGGCTGTCGGCGCAGATGCGGGCGTCCCCGTTACAAACAGTGGCGTGGACGCGACAGAACAGCTTGTGGTTGGATCATCGGCAACAGCACGGCGCGACAGAGCCACTGTTTTGCCGACAGTGGCATTCTATGCCAGCGGGAAGAGTACTGGGGGGATGGATGAGCAGGGAGTCCGGAATGTTGGCAGGCCATCTGCACCGTCTATAGGGAAACGATCCATTGGGAGTGTGGATGGTGCTCGGCACACCGCCATGACAGAGTTCGAGGACCGACACGGGAGTTCTTTGCCGACAAAGACGTCTGATGTCCATGCTACGAGAGCCGCAACGGCGAGTCTTTCTCGGGCAAGGAAGAAGGCCTCGGCAAGGAAGGCGTCACRTTCATCCTCACATATGCGTTCCCGATAGAGAGGATCGGGCGTTGTGCATCTCGAGGACGGAGAGATTGCACCTGACGGCGACGCATTGGATGTTGGAGGGAGGGATGCAACGACGGCGGATATCGTCGGCAGGGAGGGCACAAGGAATGCAGTGGCAGGTCAGAAGAGACGCGGCAGTGTACTTATCGTCCACGACGACAGCACAGATGTCGCCCCGGGAGAGACTACAGGCACTAATGATGCAGGGGACTCCGATTACGTACCCAAACCACGGGCGGCAGATGGAGATGATGGAGGAGGGCGACGAGTGAGACCGAGGACACGACTCGGGCCGCAAGGGCAGCGAGCACAGGGCACACCATCGGCGATGATTCCTGCCCCCATAGATCGGCGAGCTCAGGCGCAACGGTTGCTGCGCAAAATTGAGGCCACTCTTCAACAGACGCACGGGTTATCGCTTGGCCGCAAAGCGACGGAGACTCAGAGACAGGGAGAGAGGGAGGGAGAGAGAGAGAGAGAGA